GAGGCGCGGGGGCGGGGCTGCGGCCGCCGCAGGTGTCCCCACGCCGCCAGCCCGTGCAGTATTGCGCCTTGCACCAGACAGGTGGCCTTCGCAGCTACCTGAGGAGACAGGTGTCATCCATCACAGCTACCTGAGGGGACATGCAGCCTCACCATAGCCACGTAAAAGGACAGGTGTCACCCCTCCTTGTTGGTACCTGAGGAGACAGGTGCCACCCCGTCATTGTTACCTTGGGGGGATAGGTGTCACTTCTTCATTGCTACCTGAGGAGACAGGTGTTACCCCTCCTTACTGATACCTGAGGGGACAAATGGGTGTCACCCCCTAACTGGTACCTGAGGGGACAAATGGGTGTCACCCCCTCACTGGTACCTGCGGGGACGGGTGTCACCTCCTCGTTGGTATCCAAAGGGACAGGTGTCATCCATCATCGCTGCCTGAGGGGACATGTAGCCTCATCATAGCCACTACCTAGGGTACAGGTGTCATCCCCTCCTAATTGGTACCTGAGGGGACAGGTGGGGAGTCACCCCCTCTTTGGTACCTGAGGGGACAGATTGTCACCTCCTCAATGGTATCTGAGGGAACAGGTGTCATCCATCATTACTACCTGGGGGAACAGGTGTCACCCTTCATTGGTACCTGGAGACAGATTGTTGCCCTCTCGTTACTCCCTGAGTGGGGTGTCTATATTGTCCCCTGTCACCTGTGTTCTCAGTGGTGATAGGGGAAGGACAGATGTCCCCACCTGCAAAATGAGGCAGGTGTCTCCCTTTAAGGGTTATAAGAGGGTTGAATCAACATGGAGACAGCTCCCTGGTCCCCGTGCAGCTGCATGGTAGGGATCAGATGCCAGGCCTCTGCTCATGATGGGACAGCTGACCACAGGCCTGGATGGAAGTATTCGAGCATCTCAGGTGGCTGAGCTGTTTGGCATGCAGGACCAGTTGTGCTCAGCTCCTGTCTGCAGTGGGCTGAGGCTGCGTGGAGATCATGCCTCAGTTTCCTCCCGTGTCAAGTGTGTGGTGCCTGATCTTCCTCGAGGTGATCGGGCTTAGCATGGGTGGTAGGAACTCTGTGGCATATCCTGCACACAGGGCCTCAGGGGAGGTGGGTGGAACTGGGTTGCAGCTGCTGATGTTCCTGGATTCTGAGTCCCATTTCTCTTCTGAGCAGCTGGGGCCACTTAGTTCAGGCTGGAATTCCTTGGATGGAGCCTCTGGGTCAGGTGATTTTATAATCAGTTGCTTGTTTCCTGAAGAGACTGTGGAATCACAGATGAGGATGTGTGTTTGATTTTGTACACTTGCTCACTGTCAGCCAGGCTGTGCTCCCAGTGTGCTCAGGGAGTGGACTCATGTCTCTCAGCACTGAGAAAGATGTGGCCACTGAGTGAGTGAAGGAATGAATGGAAGAAAAGTATGTCACCCACCAGCCAGGGCAGCTGAGGCTCCTGCTTGTTCCAGTACGTAGTAGATGTGCCTGCATGCAGTTGGTGTCAAATGTTTGCAATGTGATGAACAGAGTTGTGAGGCTGGTCTTTGTATTGTTCTGTTTCGAATATTTTATTATTTGTATTTTTGTATGTATGAGTGTATTGCCTGCATGTGTGTAAGTCCATCTGTGTTGTATAGTACCTGTGCAGGTCAGAAGAGGGTACAGAATCCACTGGAACTGCCATGTGGGTTCTGGGAATCAAACCTGTGTCCTCTGCAAGAGGAGCCAGTGCTCTTAACCCCCGAACCATCTCTCCAGCCCCTATTTTGTTGTGTTTTATTTTGAGGCAGAGTCTCACTGTGTAGCCTTGACTGCCCTGGAACTTGCTATGTAGACCAGGCTGGCCTTGAATTTAGAGATCTGCTGCCTCTGCCTCTGGAGTGCTGGGATTAAAGCTGTGCACCACCATGCCCAGTTTTTGATGAAGTCTGGTACCTTCATTGGGATGGGCATGAATTAGTGTAGCTGGAGCTCATGTAGCCCAGGCTGGCCTTGAACTCACTGTGTAGCTCAGGATGACCTTGAACTTCTGATCCTCCTGCCTGTACTTCCTGAGTGTTGGGATTATAGGCATCCCTGACCTGCTTCCCCTGCCCATGTCTTTGCCTGTTTGATCTCAGTGGGATCACGCACCCTGTGGCCCTGTTCAGCTTCTATCACTCACTGTTACATTTCCCAACACAATGTTTTCCAAGACGTTCTAGCCTGTCTCTGCTTCATTCCTCGTTTTACAGACTTGTGGGCCGGTGGGGTGGCTTAATTGGTAAAGACGGTTGATTGCTGCCAAGGGTTCCCACCTGAGTTCAGTTCCATGTACGAGAAGGAGAGAACTGACTCCCACAGGCTATCATCTGATCTCCACACATACATTGTAGTATTTGAGGGCCTAATTCAAAATATACATTACGTGTCAGTTGTGTTAGCCTGTAGAGGCTGAGGCAGGAGGATCTCTAAGGCTCTCTAGCCAACCAGCCAAACCAGCAAAGTTCAGTGAGAGACCCTATCTCTGTGTGGATGGTGAAGGATTGTGGCACTGGGTTTTAGTCCTTCATCATGCCAGATACCTGGGGTGTCCCCACCTCTCCGTAGTTGCAAGCCATGTCTCCTGGACATAGGCGTCCACGTTTCCTCGTGGTCATCTGTCCATGGACAGGCTGCTCCTGCACCACCTGCTGTGATCCCTGTGCCATCAGAAGGTGGCCAAGGATGTGGGGCCTGTGCTAGGGATGAGTAGCTGTGCAAATGAGTGAAGTGAGAACTTGAGCAAGAGGGCAATTGAGCCTTTTCTTAGCAGAACCCTCTAGACTTGAGGGTGGGAGAGTGGGGGCAGGGATGATGTGTGCCGGTCACTTGCTGACTTGGACTTGAACAGGACTTCTGATGTAATATGGAACATCTCAAACCAAGGCATCTGGGCCACAAACAGTCCCCAGTTAACCAGGCAATGTGACACTCATCTGTTTTAGTGTCTCGGGAGGTTGAGGCAGAAGCATTGACGCTGGCCAGGCTAGGCCTCACACTGTGGTCCTGTCCTCACAGAATCAGTAGCCCAGTATGCTCCTGTCTGGACCAAGTGCAGGACATTGTCTTGATGTTTGCCTGTGCTGGGGGTGGCTTTGCTCAGGGTAGAGGACTTGGTGACTACCCTGGCTTGGCCTTAGGTCTTGGCTTTGCCATTTTTTTCTTAATTAAAAAAAAAATTATTGGCCAGGCATGGTGGCACACGCCTTTAATCCCAGCACTTGGGAGGCAGAGGCAGGTGGATCTCTGAGTTCAAGGCCAGCCTGGTCTACCTCGTGAGTTCTGGGCCAGTCGGGGCTACAGGGGAGACCTTGTCTCAAAAAGCAAAAAAAAAAAAAAAAAGAATTAAGTGTTACGTGTCTGCTACAGTATATGTGTAGAGGTCAGACGGCAACTTGCTGGAGTTGTTTCTTTCCTTCTACCATGTGGATGCTGGGGATTGAACTCAGGTTGTGAGGCTTGGCAGCAAGCACCTTTACCCTGCTGAGCCATCTTGCTGGCCCTTTGGCACCTTCTCTTGTCCTGCTGTCTGTCAGGACTCTTTGCTGCCATCTGCGACCTCATTGCATAGGGAACACCCCCAACTGGCTGTCAGGAGAATGGGAGTTCTTCCCTTATCTCTGTACCACTCTAGAAGCCCCTGAGGGTTGTGGGTAGCAGCTGAATGGTGACCTGTGAAAAGTGTCTGTCTGTGCTCAACCCTGGGACCCAGCTGCGGGACCTGTGCTGGTAAGGGTTCTCTGTAGATGGGATTTGAGTCAGGACCCGCACCTTACAAAAACGAGAGGTGGTTAGTGTAGTGAAGTATACTTGTCCGGCACTTGGGATACTTAGGCAGGAGGATCAGGAGTTCAAGACTAGCCTTGGCTTGTCTCAACACCCCCAAACAAAAACCCTAACCAAATAAATAAATAATAGGAGACACTATGGGACACAGGAGCATGGGGGAGATGCCATGTGAAAACAGAGGCAGGAGGGACAGGCCCACCTGGAGCCTCTGGTCAGCACATGGTTTCGAGAGTCTGGCTTCAGACCTCTGGGCTCTAGGGCCTGGAGCAAATTCTTTTCTTTATTTTATTTTATTATTATTTTTTTGTGTGTGTTTTTGAGACAGGATCTCCATGTAGCCCCAGCTGTCCTGGAACTCACTATGTAGACCAGACTGGCCTCGAACTCACAAAGATCTGCCTACCTCTGCCTCCCAAGTGCTGGGATTAAAGGCGTGTACCACCACGCCCGGCTCCTAGAGCAACTTCTATTCTGTCATTTTTCTGCCTTTACAGGCATGTGTGTGTGTGTGTGTGTGTGTGTGTGTGTGTGTGCATGCAGATGTAGGACAGAGGAAGACATCAGTATCCTGGTCTGTCATTTCTCTGTCTTGTTCCATTGACTACGGAAACCTTGGAGAGCCTCTTCCTATTTCTATCTATACCCTAAAAGGACTGGAGCTACAGGCACATGCCTGGTTATGACCAGCTATTTGTGTGTGTGCCAGGGATTTGAACTCAGGTCC